CCGCTGGCACGCCGGGACACCCGCTCCCGCCGCCCGGTTCCGCGGCCCCAAGCTCCACGCGCCCCTCGCCGCCGACTGCTGGGGTTTCAGAGACGCTCGGGAGCCCCTTGGCTGAGAGGCAGGCGTCTGCACAGGCCTGCCCGGCTACGCCGCCAGCAAGATAGGCCCCCGGGCCTTTGGTCCAGTTGGCGCCTCAGGATGGCGTAAGGAGCTGCCGACTGGGTCGGGCCAATGAAAATCGCCGCTGGCCGGCACGTGCTCTGCGCGCGCGCGCTGAACACAACCTCGTGCCGCCACCCGGGTAGAAGACCCAGCGGAAGGCAGCCGTGCGCGGAGGACGGGGCGCTGAGGCCGCCCGGCTGTGGGTGAGGCTGAGTTGAATGGGCACCGGGACGTGGCCCGCCCAGAGGAAGCGGAACAGTGCTTGCTAGCTCTTCCAGAGCCGTTATCCACCATTGCTTCCTCCCATCTGTATAAGGTAGGCTTTTCACTGAGGTAAACATGTTCTCATTCCTGACTTGCAGAGTTTGGTAAACTGAGGCACAGATGCTCAGCTGAGAGTGGTCAAGAAAGAGAGCCCCTTGGGCTGGGAAGGTGGCTTAGTGGTGGCGTGCTTGCCTTGCATGCATGAGGCCCTGGGTTTGATTCCTCAGCACCACATAAGCAAAAAGAAAAAAGCCGGAAATGGCGCTATGGCTCAAGTGGTACAGCGCTAGCCTTGAGCAAAAAGCAGCTCAGCGATGGTACGCCAGGCCTTGAGTTCAAGCCCCGGGACTGTCCAAAAAAAAAAACAAAAAGAGCCCTGCTTTGTGATTTTGTTTTTTGTTTTTTTTGGGTCCGGTCGTGGGGCCTGAACTCTGGGCCTGGGCGCTGTCCCTCAGCTCTGCAGCTCAAGGCTAGCGCTCTACCACTTGAGCCACAGCGCCACTTCCAGCTTTTTCTGATTATGTGGTGCTGAGGAATCGAACCCAGGGCCTCAGGCATGCGAGGCAATCGCTCTACCACTGAGCCACCTTCCCAGCCCAGCTTTGTGATTTTTTTTATGTGGCACAGCAAATGAGCAATGGGGAAATGCTGAGACCCAGATGACAGGGTATTTGACAGAGAATATTGTAATTAAGCCTTTTAACTTAAAGGTGACTATACTGTCTGGCCCACCAGGGTCATGGGACGTCACAAGGTGGGTTTTTTGGGGACATACACACACGCACACACATGCACACGCACGCACAAGATTAATGACTGGCTTCATTCCAGAAAGCAGGTCCGCATTTTCTTGCAACTATAAATCTTTAACTTGGGCTGGGAAGGTGGCTCAGTGGTGGAGTGCTTGCCTTGTATGCATGAGGCCCTGGGTTCGATTCCTCAGCACCACATAAGCAGAAAAAGTTGGAAGAGGCGCTGTAGCTCAAGTGGTAGAGCACTAGCCTTGAGCTGAAGAGCTGAGGGACAGCGCCCAGGCCCAGAGTTCAGGCCCCACAACTGGCAAAAAAAAACTTCAATAAATGTCTCATACCTTGAGACTGTAACTGGTCTGGCCCTGGGGATGTACTTACACCTCAATAAAAACCTGCGCATGAGTAAAAATTCTTGTCAGTCTCACCCAGGAGTTGAATTGACTGGCTTTCAGTCTCTGGAAAGGAGGTGGAATCCTTTCCTAATGAACATTGCTGTCACATTTCACATCCTGTCTGAATTCTTGTCTCACTGGGCACAAGGAATGAGGATAAGAGTATTGTGCTGACTGTGGTAACATTTAAACCAAAACCTAGCAAAGTATCTTGCTGGAATTAATGCTAGGAACAAGACATATAGTACCTGCTCATAGATCTTTCAGAAAATAGAATCAGAAAATAAGGAAGAAGCAGAGTGTAATGTTAGGAAGAATCAGTCAATAGAATGATGAGGTAAGAAGAAAGGCTTGGGTACTATCCCTGTGCTCTTCAGCTCAAGGTGTATGTACTACCGCTTGAGCCATAGCACCACTTCCAGTTTTCTAATGGTTTATCGGAAATGAGATTCTGGGGAGGGGGGGAGTGGGGAGAGATGGGAAAGGATGGGAAGGGGAAACAAAGGAGGAGGCAACAATGCTTGATAAGAAATGTACTCATTATCTTGCCCGTGTAATTGTAACCCCTCTGTATGGTATTTTCACAATTAAAAAAATATATATTCTCATGGACTTTCCTGCCCAGGCTGCCTTTGAACCATGATCCTCAGATCTCAGCCTCCTGAGTAGCTAGGGTTACAGGTGTGAGCCACCGGCACCCAGCTCCCTACACCATAATTCTGACTACCCCTACTGCTGTTAAGGTGGATGGCCTGAAGACTGGATCCAAGCCTCCCACATCAAAGCAGCTAACCTGACCAAGGAGGACAAATGGAAGGTGGTACAATCCTGCGACAATTCACTGAAATGGATGTTTGTAAAAAATTTAGATTAGTAATGATCTTATGGCTTGGATGCAGAGTGGTAGGGGCAAAGATGCACCCAATCAGACTGAAAGACTCTTGTGGAAATTGTACAGAGCAGCGGATGGGGAAAGTATACGGGAAAAAGAATGGTATACCCTACAGACTGTTCAGTTTAATCTCTTTCTATGTCAGTTAGCTCCAATAAACCCTAGTTTGGATGCCATCCAGTTTTATATGTGTCCCTGAAGGACAAATCATTGTGAAAAGCCTGGACAGTTTTTTTTTGTGCCCAGTGGGGATGTGAGACTATTGCATTGGCGTGGGGGAGCAACATAGACCCAGACATTGAGGTAGGAAATACAACAACAGATGGATGTAGTAGTCCCTGGCTTGATTGGACCCGCTCGGTTTCCAGACCGTGCACAAAAACATATATATAAGTTAAAAACCCGTCAGACCAAAAATGGCAGTTGGGGTATACCTGGGGAATTAGATACTACCAGTCAGGACCAGATAGAGGAGCAAAATTCTCAATAATGAGCTATGCCATCAGAGACCCCCCCCCACGCCCTATTGGACCCAACCAGATTCTGAGCCCAAGCCCAAACCTGCTCATGCCCCAGGACAAACAGTCCTTCCACCCTGCATCTTCTAACTCAAGAGCCTCACTCAAGAAGAGAGAGGGAGCGTGCCACTAACCCTGGATGGGCTCTTGTAACTCCGTCTTCACAGTACTAACCTAAATACACTTCCACTAACCTAAATACACTCCTCTCAGTATGGAAGAAACTGAGTCAAGGATTTGACTAGGCTAACGGAAAAGGGAGGAGTGTTAAGGAGAGCAAAAACTGACTCCATCTTCAACACACTAAGAGCTCTCTTGCCCGTGAAAATCAAAATACTGGTTTCTCACAAGCACCTCAGGGTCAGGAAATATGCTGTATCTGTTGAGACCCCAGGAAATGTCAAAACTGGAAAGTCCCTCTGCTTGCTGTGATAAGATTGTGTAATCTTTTTTTTGGGGGGGGGGTCTAGTTGTAGGGCCTGAACTCTGGGCCTGGGCGCTGTCCCTCAGCTCTTCAGCTCAAGACTAGTGCTCTACCACCTGAGCCACAGCACCACTTCCGGCTTTTTTTTTCTTTTTCTGCTTATGTGGTGCTGAGGAATCGAACCCAGGGCCTCAGGCATGCAAGGCAAGCACTCTACCACTGAGCCACCTTCCAAGCCCCAAGATTGTGTAATCTTGACAACCCACCTTGTGAATTGTTGGAGATTAACAATAGTAAAACAGCCCAGCCAGGCCCTGCAGCCCTATTTGTTTCTGGAAAGGATTTGCAGATGGGCAAACTTACTGGAAAAACCCTGCCTTTTGCTCACCAAATTTGCTTGCCAATTCAATATGATAGGTTAGTTCAAATAGTTACTGTGAGGCAGACTGTCACTCCAGTTTCAATTGACTACCTGCGTGTGGCCCTGACATGACTATGCAGTCTTTGCGTGTTACAATCCCATTGGCCACCTGCGTTTGGCCAGGCATGTTCACATAGTTTTTACCCTTAAAAACCCCAGCTTGTGGACTGGTTGGGGTCGCAGGCACAGCTCCCGAGTCTGTGCTGTGTCCCTGGCCAGTCAGCTATCCACTTCCCCACTAAATTCATCTTTTTGCATGAGACTATCTGCATGGTAGACTCTGGTGAGATATGGAATCCCCTCCCCCAGAGTCCAGTCTCCCAAGAGGTCACCTTTTTCTTTTTTCTTTTTTTTAATTTAATTTAATTTGTGAACATAGTGTACAGAGGAGTTACAATTACATGGGCAAGATAATGCGTACATTTCTTACCACGCATTGCAGCCTCCTCCTTTGTTTACCCTTCACATCCCTTCCCAGCCTCCCCCCTCCCCCCCCAATCCCAATCCTTCTCGTTGTAAAGCTCGTTTTGGACATGACAACTTGTACTTCTCATTGTTGCAACAGGTCCACCTGTATCCTTAAACAACTGGTTTTTCCCCATCTCCTCCACAAGTTATATGACATCAAATATAGTGAAAGCAGGGGTTATACTGTGGGGGAGGGACCTACAAAGCAGCAAAGAGATAATCTTATAAATGCGTTAGAAACACATGCATGAAAGAAAAAAACATTAAAATACACATCTAACGGTTCATTTTC